AAGAACACCCCGGGAATGACACCTCAATGCCCAATCTGCTAGACTAACTTGCTCTTTTGGAAGATTAGGATCAAGAGCTGGCCTTCCGCACAAAACTTCAAAAAGGACCACCCCAAAGGAATATACATCTGATTTCTCTGTCAATTGTTGCCTGCGGAAGTATTCTGGATCCAAGTACCCAAAACTTCCTTTCACCATTGTACTAACATGTGTTTGATGAAGAGTAGGACCTGTTTTTGAGAGTCCAAAATCAGAAACCTTTGCAAGCCACTTTTCATCCAACAGAATGTTAGTAGTTTTCACATCCCTGTGGATGATAGTGTACTTTGCTCCTGTATGAAGATAGTGAAGGCCTCTTGCAGCGCCAATGCAGATATCCAGCCTCTGTCTCCATAAAAGTCGTGGCTTCTTGGTCTTGTAAAGATGCTCCCTCAAAGTTCCATTAGCCATATAGTCATACACCAATATCATTTCATTATGTTCTTCACAAGCCCCAATTAGAGAGACCAAATGCCGGTGTCTTAGCTTTGAAAGCAGATCAATTTCAGTTCTAAACTCATGAACGCCTTGTTCTGATGATGGGTTTGCTCTTTTTATGGCAACTTCAGTCCCTCCATCAACAAAGCATCTGTACACCTTACCAAATCCTCCAACTCCAATAACTTGGGATTCAGAAAAATTCATGGAACCATTTTTTATCTCGGCCAAGGAGAAACGTCTACAGAGGCTTCCACCAATATTTGAAATGCGACTGCTGCCACAACTTTTGCCTGAGATTGTTGTTCCAGTTTCTGAAGAGCGCGAGCTATCATAAATTGGCAGCCAACCTGCTATGCTAGAACTTTCTCCGAGAGCCATCCTCTTCCTACGCCTGAGAAATGCAACAAAACCAATAACCAGAGCAAAGCCAACCGCTGCTCCCCCAACCGCACCGAGAATAAGGCCAGTTTTTCTGGACTTCGATGGTGCAAATTGCTTTGGCTCGGACTCCATGGGAGTGGCAAGCGGTGATGGCACAGGATTTGGGCCTGCTAAGCTCCCTTTTGTATCATTAATCTTAAAGATCTCCAGACCGTTTAGAATTACATCGTAAAATTCTGGCACGGATGTTTGATTAGGTTGCAGAGCCACCCACAATTGTTCATCGCCACTCCTATCACTGACTTGTATCGTAAAATCCTTGTAAACTGGTACCCCTTTTGCGCTAGCCCATCCAATCACATCTGCATCTGGAAAAGCTGTTTGGTTGTTAATGAAGATAGCAAACACCCTCTGATTAACTTTGGACATCTGATAATCGCAGAAATGGAACCTCACGAGATAAGTATAATTGGGATCAATTTGAAACACCCATGTAAGGTTGAAATTCTGATTAACCTTTGGATCAGGCCCCATTGACCTTGCTGTGTCATAAACGTTTACAGGAGCAATGTACTCGGGTAAACCAGTTGGATAATTGATTCTCACATTTTCATCAGCCTGAGAGGTGACACCAAAAGCTGCACCAAATAGATAAGGCGAGTCATCGTACCATGTTCTGCTCAGACCAGAATCATCACTAGCTGGAATATACTGTCCACCAACATTTAGCCTAATCAGTGTCTGCACCGTATTCTGTTCTACTTCCACTGACTGCTCTGAAAACCCAACCAAAGGCGCAGCTTGAAAAAGTTCTGGCGTTGAGATAATCTCAATGCCATTGACAAAAGCAAAAGATCCATTATATGCTGGTGATGGAGTGAATGTGAGGTTGAGAATACCAGTCTGAATTGGTACAATATTATATTCTCTGATAATATAAGCTTGTGTAAGCGCTTGGGCGGTGATCAAAGCACTAAAATTGTTAAGAAGTGTGAAACCATCAGCTGTTACAGAAAAGAATCCATTTGAAGAGCTGAGATTATTATAAGAAGGGGGGTAAAAATGAAGGCGAATCCAGTGGCGGGCTTTGGGAGAAATTCTGAACGTGTAAGTGAATTGTGATTGGAATACTCTGGCAGTCATGTAAGGGACAGTGGAAGGCAATGAAGGATCTTGAGAAAGAGCCGTGGCAACGATTGAATTATCTGAAGATGCAAGGAATTTAGAATCTGGAATCCAACTCCTGCCGTTATTATCTGTGGCATTGGTAGGAGCACCACAAGCCAACACAAGAGAATCAGAGTTTGATATATTGCTGTTGCTAGCTGAATGGACCTTATTCACAATGAAAGAACAGGCGATTCCAAGAAATAAAACATGGATATCAAAAATCATGCCTGAATATAGATTCCCTTTGAAGGGTAACTGCAAGAAAGAAACTTGAAAAGAGTTCAAGGAAGTATGGATATGCAAGAGAGTGGGGTAAGGAAACAGATTACGAGAAACTGAAGGCAAGAATTTTCCACTTGATGCCCATCAAGGAGGATTTGTAAACAACGTAATCGAAATTGACCTGCAAGAACAAGAAAATATTGGCATGCTCACCTTTGAATTTGCTTTTATTGAACCAAGAAAAAGGAAAAAGAAAAACCATGAAGCCAATCTTCTAATTCAGCTTGCTCAAGCAGCTCTATTATTTTCAGCAATGCTTCTTGATTGATGAGAGTTTCAGAGGGCGGAGAGGTTGTTAGAGAGGAATGGTGAAGGAAGAAAGTAACGGCTCGAGTGAGTGATGTTGCTTATAGCTATATTGATGCATTTAATTACTCCTCCAAATTTGGCGCCATCAATTGTCGAGTCTTACTGGTCACCTTGGCCTGCCTTGAGGGCAAATAAAACATGGAGTAAAACATATGCATTTATTTGCTCAATAAATACAGTCGATAGTCAGAACAATTGAGAGTTGGAAGATTACCTTCTTTTTTTTTTTTTTTGGTTGGGTGTTTGGGGGGTTTGGATAATTGTAAAGTTACTCTTATTCTTGCAATATGTAACATATGTAATTGAAGTATTTCAATTATGAATTATGTCACAGTGATGAAGCTGACTTCAATGCTTTTTTTATCACCTAGGCTAGGATAATACATCTTATGATCTTATCTTTGTTTCGTCTACAAGGATCTTAAAGGGACGGTTTAATAGCAATAACTGGTTTGCATTTGTAAGCCTTTTCATTTCCTGGCACTTACAATAATGTATGAGGTTTGTTCTAAATTCATACGGGTGTGTGGTGCACCCGTTTGATCTAATGGTGGTTCAATCTCCATCAAGTTCTCCCGACTTAATTGGGCCTTCCCATAGAGTAGATTTCCCCCCCCCCCTTCCTCCGTAGGAGTAGGCTAAACATATGCCGTTAAGATAAAAAAAAAAAAAAAAACGTCTTGTTAGAATTTCCATATCTTTTCTTTTTAATTTCAATCCCTCCTCCTCTAGTACTAACCAGTCCATCCCTCCCCGAAATTTCCATATCATTTATTCCATCAAGAATATCTTACTCATTATCTGGCTTACCACATAATGGGCGAATTCTGCTAATTAGTCTGTTCATTCTAACTCCTCAATGCCAAAAAGTTCAAAGTTCCATTCAAATTGAATTAGTGAACACTATAATTCCATTAAAGTACTAAAATGCCAGGCAAACACGATCAAATGAATTTTTTTTTAATCTCTTTATATCGAGAAAATTATCACATTAATTTTATTTTCTTCCTTCCTTTCATGAGAAAGAAAAGTAAGCAAAAGAAAAAGAAAAAAAGGTACCATAATCAAGTTTATGGGAACAGAGCTGAGCTGCAAAGTAAACCAAGTTGTACAACTAAACTTGTTCAATAATGCCTGACGGTGACATCGAGTTTAAGAATAGCCCTCAAGTTTGGTATGTCAATGAATTCAGTCGTCATAATTCCATACCCTTTAACAAACCGAAAAAAACCAGTCCCTGATACAATTGAAAACTCTCTTTCCTTGACGGAGAAGGGATCAGCTCCTTGAATTTCCAAAGTGCTCCCCTTGTATTCTCCATCAGTGAATATCACAGAAAATACCAAGTACAATCCTTTGCCATCCAGCTGAGAATTGATGTACAAACCTTGGGCCCTTCCAATTTTTTTGGATTTTGGATCTGGACCTTCAGTTACTGGATCATCCACTGCAGCCAGAGTTCCAAATTCTAAGATACTCGTCGTTGGGCCATCCTTCCCGGCCACGGTCATAGCAGAGGTGTCATCTCCGGCAAAGTTGTCGTGGACATAGAAAACAAGGTTTGTTTCCTTGGGTTTGCGCTTCCTGAGGGTTGTGGCCCAGTAAAGAATGGGCAGAGCCAGAAGAGGTAGGAAAGGGGTAGAAGCAGAGCTGAGAAGACTGGGCATGGCTATGACCTAAATGGATGATGCGCTAGTTTTTTCTGGAAATGGGGGGATGCTGCTGCATTTTATTTATGACTGCCATATGATGCTTAGCAGAGGACTTGGCGAACATTTTCAATGGAAAATGACAAAGGGGCAGCTACGGGTAATCATATTTTAAGGGGTTTAGTTTAGCTTTGTTAATAAGCATCTGATTAACCACGCGGCTTGGAACGCTCGTCATGGCCTTCGTGGATGTAACTCATGTATCGTAAACCGCAAATGCTGCTGCCCAAACTTTTGACCGGGGTTTTATGTTTTTGGCACTTTTTCTTCATTGAACTTTAAGGTGATTAGCAAAGAGTAAGACAAAAATTGCAATTTGAAAACTGTTCATTACGATTACAAATATGAATCTGAAGTATAGACAGAGCTATCAGCAATTCATTTCTTCAGAAAAAGTAACGATTAACAAATTGAGGGAACCACTTCTTCTGACCTCAATGTTGGTTCTATCTCTGACCACTCTGGTGCAACCACACAACTTTAGGCAGGCAATGGGATTGGCTACATGTAAAGTAGGTGAACCATGACGGAGAAGAGCTTCTGCGTCAGTGGTCTGTGGGTATAATTGGCGTTGGGATTTAGCACCATTCTTTAGTTTCACCTAAATAGCTGTTGTCACGCTTTTGCCACCTCTAAGTCCTAAAGAGAAGGATACGTACAAAAATATATACATATATACATACACACACGTGTGTGTTTACATATATAACACACACGCACATGTATTAAAGTTCGAGCAAGTTCGAATTTAATTTGCATATTTGCAACTTTCGAGACCAAAAATATCTGAAAGGAAACACTCAGCGGCTTCTTGAGGCATGGTTCGGCTCCACTGAGATTTGGGATGGCCCTCAGCTTATCTTGCTGTGCTTCGCTCCAGTCAAGTATTCAATCTGGTTTCTCTCTCTTTCTTGCCTTCTTCCAAGTTCCAAGTCCTAGAAGAAAGTTGAATTTGTTAATCAGTTTATGTGTAACATTGCTCTGCTGTGCTCTCACAGCTCAGCTGAATATAAGCAGCAAAAGAGAAGGCCTAGGACAGGTGAAAAGCCTCGTAGCCAGAACTGGGATTCCTTCAATAATCACCTCTCCGCATGAATCTCTACAAAAAGGCAACTGGGTCAAGCTTATTTGTGGTGCTAGTTTTGAGGATGTTGCTGATATCAGGAATCTTTCGTTGGTGTACACTCTTGCTGGTGGTAAGACAGAATGTTTCGATCAGCATTTGTTCCTCTTATTCCTTTGCCGCTTGTTGAAAAGAAGAAAAAAGCCTTCTCTTTATAGTTGGTTTTGTATTATTGAATGAAGTGAAGCCTTATGTATGAGTTTTTTTGTGTGAATGAAAATTCAGTTGATTGCATTGACTGTGCTGCTGAAGCATCTGTAGTGAGTGCTGTGAATGAAGGAATTGAAGCTGCTCGTGCTATTTTCCCCATTCGCAGGCCTTGGATTATGGTCAGTGTCAATGACAATGAAGATCTTCATTTCCGTAAAGCCGGTAACTATTTCAATTCTTGGACTCCATAAGGGTTACGTGAAGATGTGTTAAATGCTACAAATTCCCCTCTTCTTTTTGTGCGTCTGTAATTGGCATTATAATGCCACCATAACTCGAGGTAGAAATCCTTTTGTTTTTGGCTGATGTCTTCAGTTGATATTACTAGTAATAAACAACTTAAGGAGATGGCTTGGTGTGGAATTTAGGTAGAACCTGAATCGTGGAGCATTCTTGTACTAGCTCATGTGGTCATAGTATGGCTACAGGAACTGAATGTTCTCAGGAATGATGACCCTTGATCCTTTAGGAAGCACACACTTAAACAAAAGCCTGTAACGGCTCTTTATTATATAACAGAATTTGATCCGGATGATTGTCCCCTTGATTGCTCAAGACCGTGTGAGATTGTATGTCCAGCTAATGCAATACTTGGAGAAAGTACACCTAGTGGACTCAAGGTTCTTTTCTGTTTCATTTATGTAATTCAGTTGATTAAGCTTAGCTAAACTTCTGGCGTAAAGATCTTGTTCACCATCATTTGCTTATGTTCAATAACTAGATTTGAGAATGCAGGGTGGGGTCCTGGCTGATCGCTGCTATGGCTGTGGCCGCTGCATTCCTGTTTGTCCCTTTGATAGAATAAGTGAGTTAAACTTCATAATTCATTTATTGCATGCCTGCATCTGATATTGAGTTTTGAGAACCTTATTATCATAATTTCTTTTCCCAGCGGAAGTTTTGTCTGATTGAACGTTCTCATGACGTTCTCTTTTGAAAAGCCTTGAACTGGCTCATTTAATGATTATAACAGAACACTCGATTGATTAGGAGCAATTACATACATACGAGACGTTACCACAACAGTTGAACTTCTCAAAAGAGATGACGTTGATGCCATAGAGATTCATACAAATGGAAGGTAGCTTATCGCCATATCACTGTGTAGACTACTAGTATTATCTTTGTATTATGGATTTAAGTACAGCAAATATATGGCTAACTGCATGCTGGCCAAGTTAACCTTTCAATATTTATGTAGTAAATGGTAATCAAAATAAAGCGACTCATAGTAGTTTGAAAAGGCATGTTTTGCAGTCACGGGATGAGAAATTGCCCAAGTCTTTCCGGTACATTTTTTCTACATTCACCAGAGAGTAATGTTTCAGTATATGTGAGGGCTTAGTGCGACGTCACCCAATTATCGATACATAGTTACTAATGCTAAGCTGTTTTCACTTAGATTCGCTTTTTATATCTGTAGGCAGGCAAGTGCATTTGAAGAACTTTGGAATGGATTGGGAGATTCAATTAATCACTTGAGACTAGTGGCAGTAAGTGCAGAACAGTTTTATTGCGTTTATGATCAAACGCTGATTATTGTCATCTAACTATGTACATTGATCCTTACGAGCATTTTTCACTCTCTACTAAGTGCAGGTTAGTATGCCCGATATCAAGGATCTAACTATTGCTGCAATGAGCACTTTGTATTCTATAATGGAACCCAACCTGCATTGCATCAACTTATGGCAGGTACAGGCCCTCGAAAACCAGGAATCTGAATCTGTTACTACTTGTAAATCAGGTCTTGAGTTTCATCAAGTTGTATTGTGAGCTTTTTGATGGTTTGTGTATGTTATGCTGACTAAAGTTGGATGGTCGTCCCATGAGTGGAGACATCGGAAGAGGAGCCACGAGGGAAGCAATTGCTTTTGCTCTCCGTTTAGTCTCTGCTAGTGACAGGCCCAAAGGTGCATGTCTGGAGTATCTTCTTATCTTTATTTTTAGGTGCTAGGATTTGTAAAAGCTCAAAATTCCAATTCCAGTTCTGTCTACTCATCCCAGGTTTTCTTCAACTAGCTGGTGGTACCAATGCTCACACTGTAGATGGGCTGAAAAGAGAGAGATTGTTCCAAACAACAACCATACCTGGTACTAACCTATCCCCTCTGTAGCAAGTTTCTTGTTTGATGTTTCCTAATTCATACTGTTTTTCCAACTAAAAAGATAGAAATTCTTTTGCAGAGATATCTGAAGGTAAAAAGATGCCTCCAGTACCATCTAGTTCACAAAATGCTTTGATTGGAGGGGTAGCTTTTGGAGGCTACGCAAGAAAGGTAGTCTCGCATACTGCTGTAGGAAACTGTCCTAGTTATTGTCTTTATCATTAGCAAATTCAGAACCCTCTGCTTCCAACGTGATCTCTGGGGGGTAATTTTTTCTTATGTCCAGGTGGTTGGAAGGGTTTTGACATCTATGCAGTCTAATCATACGCATGCTTATATTGAGGACTGTCCTGAACATCTGTTGAAGGCACTTGAGGAATCACTTGCCTTGGTTGGAACTGTTAAAGCCTATGGCACCAATTGATCCTGGATAAAGCTAGAATGTCAAGGTCTCCACTCTCCTGTATCAATCGCAGAAGGAATGCTAGGTAGCAAGCAGGCCCTAGACAAATCTCGCAATGCACCCGCGGGAAACGAGAGGCAATTAGTATTGATTAAAAAGCTTTTTACAGTTGCGAGCAACCAAGAAGTCGTTCGTTGTTCGTTTTCTTTAACTCTGGATTTAAAGTGTCGCATCATAACACACAAACACCGTGCGATTTTTTTTTTTTTATAATTGTGCTTGGGCCTTGTCTCGCCCGAAAGGAAGTGTAGTGCAGACACGTTCGATTTGAAGTTTTTATGACTGGCAATTGGAGGGGTGCGCCAGGCCGAGGCTGCAGTGCAAAGCCCAGGCGACGCTCGAGGGCCCCGGCAGCAAGCTACCGTAGTGGGCTCTCCCCCTATAAAAATTGAGTTAATATCGTGTGGGCCGATGGCCCACGTATCAGATATTAAACTGATAAGAACAGATACTACACTTGATCTTAGCCAAAAGGCCGAGAAAGGTATGCTTGTTACGAGGCTGGCTCGCTGCTTTTATACTTCTCCAAGCTCACGCGACGCCCTTTGCTGCTCCGATGTGGGATCTCTTCGATAACCGCCTTTTCTTCTTCTTTGCTCTTTACAACCAAAACCATGGGCACAGGCAGATTCTTTTTAGCTCCGCCTCTATCAGACTAATACTACGTGAAGATCATCTTGATGGGTAAAAATGGTCCTTTCAATTTGATTTTGTATTGAATAGTAGCTGGATCCGTTTGCACATATTGGGGTGCTTATCATGCTGCGAAAAGTGTATAAGTTCTAGGCATCCCTGAAAGATTTTGCTCTGTGTCCAACAAACAGACAATTGGACATTATGTCACAAAGAATTTTGGTTTTCAATGAAACAACTGAACTAGATGCTTAAAATGTCGAATTGTTATTTTTCTATTGTCCACCAAATGGATGATAAATGTGTGGAAACGTTATTTGCAGTCCTGCCGTTTATTTTATTAAATAATATAGTAAGTGAAAACTATGTGATTGGAATGATACTGAAAATGTGATTAACAAAAATGGGAGTGTAAATATATTCGTAACTTCAAATATATTCCACCTAATAATGGTCCTCCCTCCCTCAGCATTCTGATCCCAAAAAGTATCCCTTCACCCCTCTTTTTTTTTTCTTCCTTTTTTAGAAAAAAAAGGGGTGCAATAAATGGATCTTTTTCCATCCAACTTCTGACCAAGTATGAAGAAGTATCAGCACATTAGAGGATTATGAATGTTGACATTAAAACTTGTCCGGCCCCTGCCAGCCACATGTTAGCGAAACCAACCCACTCTGGCACTGGCTGTTCCTGAAGTGGAGTGGACCGAAAAAATTGGGCCAATGGCTCAGTGGTCACCAGGGAGGCACTTAAGTCCCTCCTTGGGCTGTTGGTGAGGGTTCAAATCTCATCAGCAGCAAAAAAAAAATATAAGGGTAGTGTCATAGCACTCCCTTGGTCTAATTGGGTCTGTATACCCACTAGCTCCTACCACAGCCTCCTTAGGCTCTCCCTCCCCCTTAGATTAGGATAGAGTAGGTTATACAAATGCATCGTTGCCGGTAAAAAACAGTTTATAGGGTCCTAATTATGCTTAGAAACCAAAATTCCGTTTAATATGACTTGTTAACGGAATACAAAAATGCTTCCGGGATGGGATGCTTAAGAATCTTAAATTTCATTAGCTTCCAGGATGAGTTAGGATTAAGGTAATAATAATAATATTTGCGGACCTGTCAAAGGAGTTCGCTATCGCCCGCTTACTTTTCCGGGATGCAATTTTCTTCCTAATTGTTTGCGTTTCTTTGACTGAGACCGTGATTTTAACAATATGGTTATAGATGCTGATCAGAATTGCCAAAGATTTAAATAATAGTGGTTGATTTGGCAAATGCGCCGGTCGAGAAGAAAACAAAACCTGAAGCTTTCTCACGCTCCACCTTTCCCAAGTCAACCATGGCATGGATTGCCTCGTTGACCTTTTCTTTTTCCTGTCACAAAAGTGGTACTTAAAATACGAAAATATAATGCATATGTAAAGAGAATGATCGGCCTATAGCCAAAAAAAAAAAATCATCTAATCACAATAGTCTATAGAATTTTTTTTTTTTTTTTTTTGTAATAAATGGGAGGTTTTGAATCGGCTATAGATCAAGTAACAAGAAGAGCTTTTATGTGAGTGGCATCTCAAAACTGATCTCCTTGGTTAGCCAAGACTTTGCTCAAGCCCTAATAAATGTGTTCTAATTCTGGTCAACTTGCAGCTGAAGCGCCCCAATTAGACAGGAGGCTGCGACTGCAACCGCCATTGCTTTGGGAGCCTGCTCTTGGTTTGACTTTGACATGCCAAGTCAGCACATACTGCAACTGTGGATCAACTAGATTGTCTATATTTTAACTTTACTTTTCAAGGTTTTTATTATTTTTTTGGGGGGGGGGGGGGCGTTTGAAACCTGAAATGGTGAAGACGTTAAGTATGACCGTGTTCCGGGATGTACGTTGAAAAACAGCATGTCTGACTTCTGTATGGATCATCTATTAAACTTTCTCCAACCCAAAGGATTTTTTTTTTTTTTTTTTTTTGGCGAGTCTACTCATCTGACCAAACCAGTTTTGGTAGAATTGGCAGAAAGAAAGGTTTGAAAAAAGATTAAACAATGAACTGAAAAAACCAGTACTGTAATGCTTGTTTATTGCTCCGTTTGAATTAACAGTTTTTAGGTGTGTTATTATAAAACTTTATTGTAGTATTGCATATGAAAAACTTTTGTATGAGATTTTTTTAGGTTATTTTTGTTTGTATATTTATAAATTTGCTTGATTTATTTTAACTTTTCTGAGTGGGGTCCATTTTAACTTTTACTGTTTCGTAGTAATCTCATTCATTCATCTGTGTTTTTGCTAAAATATGATATTGAGCCTTTGCAAATTGCTACGCCCTCAACTAGGGGTGCAGAGAATTCGAGTAGCTTGAATCGAGCTCGCGAGTAGCTTGGTTAGCTACTCGAATCGAGCTCGAGGCGATTTCGAGCTACTTGCTACAGTAAACGAGTCGAGTTCGAGTAATTAATGGCAAGAAATTTTAACTCGTCGAGTAGCTCGAGTTTGGTGGCCTATTTGTATATTTTATATATCAATTTACTCTTTTAGGTTTGTTAGTTAGAATATTTACGGGTTTAACCAGTTATGTTGTAATAATAATGAAGGGTGAATAAGTAATTTTGGCTCGTAAACTAAAAACGATGAAATGCATTGCAAACTCTGTCCTTCATTCGCCTTCTTCGTTCCTCTTCAGTCTTCAGAGTTCAGCTTACCTCTCAAATCCCAATCTCAGTCTTTGGCTCATCTTCTCAAATCTCAATTGTCACAACTCAAAAAAATTGGGGGCTGCTGCTGCTGCAATACTTGTAATGGTTTCTGAGCTCTTGAGTCTTGACTTAGAGGAAGCTCTTGAGTCTTGCGCGCTGCTGGCGCAGGCCGTGGAGGAGAGGGCGTCGCGAGCTGGCGGATGACTGCGCGCCGTGCGCAACTGCTGCTGGACTGCTGCGGCTGAGTTGCTGCTCGATCTGCCTGGAGGTGAACTGGAGCGCAAGGGGCAGGCTGCTCGCAAGGGGGCGACTGCGGTTGAGTCGAGCAGGGGTTGCGTGAGAAGGAGCTGCTGGTGGCGAGGCGCGGCTGGGCAACAGGCGCGATGGGCGGCAGTGTGGCGTGCGGCGATCTGGCGGGGTGCAAAGTGACGGCGGTGGACAAGGAATAAAGAAGGAAGAAGAAGGAGAAAAATAAATAAAAGGAAGAAGAAAAAGAGAGAAAGAGGGGAAGTAGGGCTGACGTTGTTGTTGTTGCTGTTGTTGCTTCGATCGGATGCATGTCAAGTTCGAGTACTCGACTCGAGCTCGAGCTCGATATGCATTCAAGCTTGATCGAGTCGAGTACGATCTTACTCGTGCTTGTCTCGAGTCAATCCCGATCTTCATTGCTCGAGCTCGATTCCTGGTGGATGTTGTCGAGTTCGAGCTCGAGTAGGCTACTACTCGAACTCGACTCGGCTCGATTTCACCCATACCCTCAACAACATGGTCGATTTGATTGCTTTACTCATTCCGTATGGGTTGTAAGTTTTTTTTTTATATATATATATACACTACAATGATGCAATATACGGCAGATATCCCAAGAGAAATTATATATATATATATATTATATACAAAAACTGACAATCTAAACACGTTTACATGCCAATGATTGCTTAGCCTACTCGAGCTCGACTCGACTCGATTTCACCCCTACCCTCAACAACATGGTCGATTTGATTGCTTTACTCATTCCGTATGGGTTGTAAGTTTTTTTTTATATATATATATACACTACAATGATGCAATATACGGCAGATATCCCAAGAGAAATTATATATATATATATATATTATATACAAAAACTGACAATCTAAACACGTTTACATGCCAATGATTGCTTAAAATTCCTCGTTCATCCTGATGGATGAAGCTTTTCCAACTTCAGACTCGAAGCACAGAGGCTGTCAACCTTGACTTACCGGTTTCGGTGACTGTACAACTAACAAGTCTAACACAAGAATCAATTTATGACCTTTGGGCGGGTTGGTGGATGTTAGGAATGGCGGGCAATCAATCACCTGGCTAATTACGAGTACAAAACACGCAGAGATCAGGAAAACACACTCCTGTTAATGCCGCGTGCGTCGCAAGCCGTGTCACCCTAACTAAATAATCTGAAATCAAAATAATTTAGGATTAGGAGGAGTTCAGATTAAGCTACATTATAAAAATTTATATAGTTGGATGGCCTGAATGCAAATGGCGTCTCCGGCTTATTATTATTTGATATAATGGACACACGAGTCACCCAAAAAACAAAAAAAAGGACTTTGATATTATTATTGTCTTATTTTCCATTTTCGAAGTTTGACCAAGATAATTACTCAAGCTCGGCTACTCATTTACTTTTCATTTTATTTTATTTTTATGGGGTGGGGTGGGGTGGTTCAAAGCAGACTAGAATCCTCTCTACAAGCAGCCACAAAATAATATACTGTGATTTTGTCATATCGTACCCCTAATTATTATCCTTAAAATGAAAAAAAAAGGTGTGTTACAAGGTAAATAATACTACTAAGAAACGATGAAACTGGTTAGCATTCAAGACACATAAAGTATATGCTATAGTAATTGTTTGTTAGGCTTTAAAAGATTTGTTTGGATTGAGCACTATTTCCTTAATTTTATTTGCTTACATCATCATTACAATTTTCAATACATCTTTTTATCTTTCCAAGTATCTTTCTATCTCACATACATCACGTCACAAAAGGTACTACAGTAAAAATATCCCAAATAATTTACAATCCAAACAAACCCTAATCGGGGTTCTTCTGATTGAAGAACAATTAATTAGGACAATCCAAAACCAATAAAGGTTGATGATGAAACAATCCATTAATTCAAAAGTCCTTTGGGCTTAGGTAAAAAAAAAACAATCCATTAATTCTCCTCCTCTTTTAATGCAGCCACATAGGGGTTGTTAGTGTTAGCTAACCTTCCACTTTAGCCACATTTATTAAAGAAGAAGAGAAGAAGATCATTAAACTTGTTAGAAACTTGAAGACTTTCCAACTTGTGATTGAACCGGGGGAAAAAAAAAATTAATACCACAAAATCTGGTCAGTGTCAGCAGAACTTCCCATCAAGAAAAAGTAATCCTTAGTGCGTTGGCTCGACTAGTAAAAAATAGCACAAAATTATGTTCAGTTTCATCTCAACAAAATTTCTGCTTCAGCGTCAGGTCAATAAACCGAGATGACGAATTAGCGCACATAATATGATCTATTAGTTTATTTTTTGTTAG